ACCTGTCCCAGTTCGATTTTGTCCACCACAAATCCCCCTTGACCAGACCCGGAATCGAACCCGGGCCGCCGCGGTGGGAAGCCAGTGACTAACCGCTTGAGCCATGGCGCGGCCCTAGAGTGCATAACTTAAATCGAATGAAAAGTAGTGGATCGGAAGCTTGTTTCTGTAAAATCGCATTTCTCCGCGTATATCGATTGCAGAAGCAATTTGTGCATCTGCATCCCCAGAATGATGCTGGCGTAAGAAAATGGAAAGGAACTGTCTTAAACCAATGACAGATATGAAGGGTCCCATCTTATGGGCTCTAACGCAGGATGAAGCAGTTCTGGCTTATTTTAAGGCACTCTCACCACGTGACTAGAACTGACAAAAGCGAATACCTCAGCCATAATTGACGGTCCGTGACTAGAATTCTGTCAGGATACCTTATAAACGTGCGTCCGGTTTGTTACTATAATATGAATCCTTGTGGGATAAAACGTTAGCTTTACTTCTTTTTTTGTAAGTTAGCAGTCTGAGTTCTTCCGTAACTTCCGGCTTTAAGGAAAGGGAGGAATGGCTTAACGTGTTGGTAATCCAAATGTTAGCCTTGCGCAGTCGATTACGGAGTTGAGGAAAAGTATCCGATTTGTGTTGCCGGAGAAATAAACAAGTTTAATGAGTTCCAGTGAACTTACTCTGTCACATTTGGACCTAAGAGAGAAGTAGTGAGGAATGGACGGAGAAAAGTCTACAGCGAGTAGCTTCATAATTTGCACCTTCCATCAAACGTTATTAGAAAGGTCAAGGGAATTAGTTCGAGAAGAGGGATATGTAGCACGAATTATGGAGATAGTCGGCGAAAACTTTATTTGGAAAAGGCGAAGGTAACAGGCTACAAGGATGAGAAAGGTGCCGACCAGTATTATTTTCTTTTCAGTGCTAGTGGGGTGGGACTAAGTCCCTTGTTCTGCGGCCACTTCTGGCCTATTGTACCAGTCCCAGATGATAGGTGAGGGTGATTGTGGAGCAAATTGGCAGAATGAAGATTAGCAGGGGAAACCGAAGTACCAGGAGAAAACCTGTCCAAGCGCCAATTTGTCCACCACAAATCCCACTTGACCAGACCCTGGATCGAAGCCGGGCCGCCGCGGTGGAAAGCCAGCGACTATCCGCTTGAGCTATGGCGCGGCCTGCCGACCAGTAACTACTATTGTAGTAATTAATTTTAGGAAAAATGTGCTCGTATTTCGGCTGGATTCAGCTGCTTCGGAATTTAATTTGGTAGGAGGATGATGTGAATGAAGTTATGGGTTCCAAAATAATGGCGAATATTTTTCCAACTCACAATCATCTTTCCAGAAAGGAACCTGCTCCACTGAATTCCGTAGTTCCTTGCGTACGGGTGCAATGACAGCAAGAAGCTGTTCCCTTACGCAACACGCGTGACACAGTTCAAACGCTTTTAGGGTGGGGACCGGATTACCATCACAGAAGCTGATGTTACCGCTGTAGGGGTGGTGATTTAAATCCAGTGTGACTAAGTACTGTACCACGAAGCACTTCATTGACCACTTTTCACTTTAATTGGCAGTAAGTAATGTTTCCCTGTGGTTCGGTTAATGCATGTGCCACAAGAATGAAACTTATACAGTCAGTCGTATCACGATGCTAAACCCTTCACAACCGACAACTGTTGTCCATCAACATGAGCAAATTTATCTACACGCCTCCCAGGAAGGAAATGCGGGAAAGGTGACGCGACCAAACTCTTTTGAGCAGCCAACCTCAACACATTAAAGTAACTGTAGTGCTGGCGTGTAGAGGGGGTCGTTACGTCTCTCCCCCCCCCCTTATTTGTTTTTGTACGAGTATTTATGGTTAACTAAACGTAGTCTCCAGTAGTCTAGGCCAGTGGTTCTCAACAGCAGCTCGGTAAATTCTTTTGTCTATAAGACGAGGTCCCGGTATCGGACCGCGGCCCGGCGATTGAGAAGCACTGTTCTAGACTTATGACGACGAATGGTAGGGTGTTTAATGAATGACAATCGGAAATGATGAGGAACTATTCAGTCATGGCTTATTTCAAGGCACTATCCCAACATGTACCTGGAGGGCCTGATGAAACCACGAAACCGTCAGTGACAGTAGCCGGTGTCCGTATCGAGACACGAAACCTACACCTCCAATTACAAGTGAGACACGTTGCCATCTGAGACAATTTTCCGGATCTGATATCCTTTGGTCGGTCCACATGAAGGATCCTTTAAAGAATGTGGCATGTATACCCACTGCTAAGCAACGACCGCGAAACACTATAAATAACGGCCGTTACTAGACAACGGCCCATAAACAGCAATAGAGAAAATGTGATTTCTGTGCGGTTCATGTTGAGATATTATAAGTAGTACAGTTAGTTAGCGAGAGCAGTTGAGTTGATTTGAGTTAGTTTGTTGATGAGTGACTGAGTGAGTTAGAAATCTGCTGAGGTTCAACTGTTGTGAGTCGTTGCTCTGAGAAGCTGGTAGCTGATACCTGGGCTAGTTCGGGAACCCCAGAGCAATGAGAACGTTCGCCTTTGGAATTCTCTACCGAGCAAAGGCTAGTGACAGTTGCGTGTGTGATAGTGACTTGTAAAGTGTAGTCACGCGCTGTAGAAGTCCGCTCATCAATCCAAAATCCGCCTATAGTCACACTCATACACGTGACAATAATACAACAAAGCACCATGCTGTGTTTTAAACTTTAACATTTTGAAGAGGAAGTGAATATTTCATGGCACAGCATCCTATGTACGTGAAACTGACAACACAAAGTATACCCGCCGTTAAACACTGGCCAATGCCTTGGGTGTGAAGTGCAGCCAGCAGTGAATGGGGTCGAAAGGCCGAAACATGTAGGAGATAATTAACGTGTAGTGCATCTGCACAGAATTTGTGCTGATGGAAATCAATACAAAGGTTCCTGTAGTCGTCGGTTGCCAAGGGACTCGATGCCCGTGCGGCAAGGGAAAGCAGACGCGTTATTGCCTATGCCAGCGAGATGGTAGTGCATCGAAGTGCAGGGGAGAATCTCTAGCCGGGTCATGTTGTTACTTTTCTGGCACGTGTACTTTCTTCAAATAGGTTTGCAAATAAACTGTCTTGTTCGGAACAATGACTGAAACAATTTAGTATCTGAACACAGTTGCTATTTATAAAAACACCGCGAAGAAACATAAAATCGCGAAGAATAATAATTCTTTCCTTCTGTGGAAGCTAAACAAAAACGGAGAACATAGATTCTAATGGGTTCTGACAAAGATGTATAATACACATAATTACTGGGTTTTTGGATGTTTCCCATCTTCCTGTATTCTAGAAAATAGAAAACACGACGTTTTGGAAACTGGAAGATCTGTATGACGTGGCAGATTCTTCATGGGTTTCCATAAGGTTTCAGTCTCGAGTGTTCAGGTTTTATTCCACAAATGACGCTAATTGTAGATACTATATGTCTTAATATTTTTTTCCCCATTTTTTTTTTTGCATTGATGCTCATGCACTTGGTTTTGTTGGCTAGGTTTGTAGCACAAATTTCTACCTCCTTTTTATATTAGTCCCACGCATGTGTATGCTCTATCAGAATCGTTATTGTATATTTTCATGTTATCTCCCGCCGAATTAGCCTGTTCTCAAGTGATTAAATAGCTGAGTAAATCTGACAGGGGTCGTTCAGTGATTGAAAATAACTCTTTTTAAGGGGTCGAGCTAAGTATCTTCCCCAACTCACATGAGGGCGGAAAAAGAGCCAGTTTCCGAAACATCGTGTTTCTATTTTCTAGAATTCCGAACGCTGAGAAAAGTCCAAAATCCCAGTAATTCTGTATGGTGAACGTAGGTTAGAGAAGTGTTATAAAAAGGGCGATCTTGATCCTAAAAACAAATGAATTTTCAGTAAATATTTTAGTTTCGATGCAGAAAGCCGTTAAGAAAATGGGACTAACAATAAAAAAGAATGAAACTAAATTTATGGCACTAAATGACCCTGCCTATTTAAATTTGACGCATAACCGAAATTTGGAAGAAGAAATTAAGCGCAGGAAATACGTAGATGTTATTACATATGTTGCAACTGATGAAATCCAAATTAATAAAGAGCAAAATTAATCTCAGGTGTATAAAATTATTATATTTCCAACAGTGCTCTTTGGATCTAAGAGTTAGACTCTGAATAAAGCTCACGAAACACTTTTTGGAGTTTCTGAGGGAAATATTTTAAGAAGAAACTATGGAGCAATACATACTGAAGGGGTTTATTGAAGATGTTACAATGAAGAATTATATAGTTTATTTAATGATGTTGAAGTATATTAACAGGATTAAAAATGGATTGAAATTGGCAGGAAGGGAAAAGCAAGGCAGGGAGACAAAGACTGAGATGGATGGGTACTGTGAAGAGGGATTTGAGGAACTTGGGTGTAGTTAATTGAAGAGCAAAGGCACAAGAGCGGGATGGCTGGAGAACGTTCTAGAGAGAGCCAAGGCTCACAAAGTGTTGTAGTGCCAATACTACTACTACAACTACTANAGCGAGCGAAGACAGTGCATACCTTAGACCGCTCGGCTACCGTGACCGGCACTACTACTACTACTACAAATAATTTACTTCCAATGGTCCTGAAGATGGAATGCTATAAAGTCAACAGAGCACAAAGAAAACTGAAATTAATTTTATTCCGTCTTTACATTTGTGGTCCAACCGGCCGAACCTGACTGAAAATGTGGAAGTGAGGGCCCGACCTCAACTTCAGTCAAAAGATCTGAATTATTAAGAGAGTAACGGAGTCAGCAGGCGGTGAAACACATTCTGGCCTCACCGTAGTCTGCTCAGTAGTATGTCTAAGCCAGTATTCATGAATTTCCCTGAACCAATACCGATAACACTTTTGTTGCATTGCAGATAAAATGATACCATCTCTTGGAAGTCAGTGTAAGCGAGACAGCACACTATGAAAGAGTAAACAGGTGAAGCCTTACCTCAGAAAACACGTTGAGGCCACAGCACGATAAATCCCACAGTTTGAGTGCAGTCTTGTTCCGTAACTCCACTATAGCGCTTACATGCGGGATGTCGCCTCCCTCGATAGCTCTGAACACAAATGCGCCTGCAATGGTATACCCAACGACGAGGCCAATTATGCCCACATTACTAAACATAAACGCAATAAACTCGCGAAAATAGTCCTTACATTTCTGTCCCCATGATTTCTTGCGGTATCGACTGGATCCGTATCTTCGTGTTGATCGTTTTCTTTCCATAATAGCAATGAGGTGCAGAAAGATATAACGAACAATATGGACGCAACCAGTTCCGTAGTGTTGGCCAAACTATATCTTCTATCTCTGTTATTGTTGTACATATATTGTCCGCAAGATACATCACCTTCATAGGCTGAAGATGAATATTTACAGATTGTACCTAGGTTTACCGAACATCGTTTTTCTACCCACCACTTTCTGGAGCCACTATCGACGATAAAACCGAGCCACAGTGAGGAAAAGAAACTAATTAAATACAGGGAAACCGACACAGTACTCAGCTTGTATTTTTGCAATTTTTTTCGTGTACTGATTGTTGCAATGTGGCTTACCGAGAGCCAATTTGTAGCACCGGAAGTAAAGATTTCACGTTCAAGTCTCGAAACCCCTGGCTCAAGAGACATGCACCAAAATGGAAATTTATTTTCAAAGAGAAGGAAAGAATGGCGAAGATATTTAAGAACTGTTAAATGTTGATTCAACATCAACAAGGGAGGTTCCGAAATGGGGTGAAAGGAAAACTGCTTGTTTGTAATTTGTGTCGTTTTTATATAGTCTTTCGCCCTGAAAAATATTAGAATCAATTCGATGCCTACGGCACTGCTAGTAAAGAGTAAATATTCCCTTATAAAAAACAGTAGTGATAAAAGTTCAATAGAGTTGGAATGTCCTTTGCCTTTACTCCTCTTACTCCTCTGCGGCACCCTGTTACAGAAGCAACCACCGATGAAACTTAGTCTCCTTGCTACAGGTCTGATGCGGGAGGTTTCCCACAAAATATCTCTCTTAAGGCATGACAACGAACATAGAGTTAAGCTGAAAAGAATGTATTTCAGAAAAGTTACACACAGCACAGCCACTTGGAAGTCGATGTTCTTCCTTGGTCCTCCCGTATCACTGAACGTTCTTATTTTGAGTGCTTTCCGAAGTAAAATATGTGATATATCCTCTTCTGATAATGATGGTGACTGATCATCCTCCCATGGTGCCATGCTGGAGAAACATCTGCCGGTGTTATGTCTTCTGCGGACGACATTACACGTACTCAGACAACTTCACAATTCATCAGTGTCTTCTGTGAAGTTTGTGAGGGACTACGGAAGGCAAGTCACATTATCTTCAGGCTTTTTGAAATCTGTAGCAAAGCCAGTCTGCAAAGAGCAAATAAAAATTATATATATATGTATATTTTACAGCTGCAGCAATAACAACGGGCGGAAGGAGGGATGGAAAGCGAAAATTCGATGTGCTCTGACATTGTTTACTTCTAGAGACATTGGCCTTACAGAAGCGTCACTGAATTTTGGCAGTTCTCACTACTCTTAATACTTGTAAAATTACCATTAGATGTGTCCACTTGGCCAGAGGCGTAAGGTTTGTAAAAAATTAGGAGACTCTGATTCAAATATATTTTTGTTCATCGGTAATTATCTGTGATGGTAGAAAATTTTCTTTGTTCCTATTTTCCTACCACATGCGGTATGCCTTGATAACGAGGTACTAATTCCTCGAGGAATCCGCAGGAAATAGGGACGTGAAGAGTCTGTTTGCAACTCAGCCGTGTTCGCGTTGCGTGTAGATCACCTGCTTTTCCGATTTGGAATCCGCTAGAGACAAATATCAGAGCACATGAATCAATTTCTGGACTTCTGAGAATAATATTAAAGTGGATAGTACGGAAATAAATTTAGAGTGTATGTACTGGATTAAGCTGTCTCAGGATCAGGTCAAATAAAGTGTTCTTACGTACGGTTGGGGACACACCATAGCTCAAGCGGTTAGTCGCTGGCTTCCCACCGTGGGGGGCCCGGGTTCGATCCCGGGTCTGGTCAGGTAGATTTGTGGTAGACAAGGTGGCGCTGGGGTAGGTTTTCTCCGACNAACCGTGATTTATTCTACAATATTCTCATAGATTTTGGGCTACACATGAAATTAGTTAAGTTGATTAAAATGTGTTTGCTGTCCAAAAAAATAAAAATTAGAATATACGAAACTATAATTTTGCCTGTGGTTTTGTATGGGTGTGAAACTTTGTTTATTTTTTTAGCTGAAACTGGAGACTATATATTTCTCCGAAACTTCCCTTGATTTTCACCGTATTACATGGTGTTGAATGTCACAAGATTTGTCTTGATTTTGTATCCGTTCATGTGGGGAGAAATGTAAAGTATTTTGTATCTGATAATGCTAAAATGTTTGGTTAACGGACAGAAACACTAATCTTTTATTATTATGAGGATTAATGAAATCTAGTAAAATTCTCAGGCAGCCTTTTTTCGGCCGGAATGCAAATCATTTCGACTCTTGCGAGTGGAGACAAGCAACAGCGCGATGCCAGCCCGTAATCATGTAGAATGCTAATCAGGATCACTAGGACATCTATTTATAGTGGCCGACTGTTGTGGTCAGTTCCTGCTGGTATGATGTGTGTCTCAGTGATGCACCCTTCAGGATGCTGTTCAGAAGGAAGCACAAAGAAATCAATTGAGATGCATCCCAAACCCCAAATGTCCAACATTCAAACCGAACAATCTTCTAGGGCTTAAGTGTATCGAAAAGATTTTATGCAACACGTGGCCCGCTTACCACATGAGGCCTATTACTATGGTTACAATGGTGGTCCGTTTCAAGAGGTTATGACTTTAATTTATTAATTATCCATGTAGCGGATTAACTACTAATATAACTAATTAATCGTGTATGTTTATAAATAAAAAAAAACATCTTCATTCGTCAGTGGCTCTAGAGCCCTTTACAAAAAAAAAATCTACGTAAATAAGTAAGGGCTCAGCTAGTCAAGTTAAGTAAATAACTGAATAAAAATATAACTGCTTATAAACTGAGGACTTAATTAAGAGTCTAACCATCAAGTCCGGTTATGATAATTCGATAGAATTCATGGGAAGTAACTAATTATGAATCAACTAAGTAATCAACCAACAAGAGTGACGTTAATGGTTTTAGTAGTATTGGTTTCATTCGCTTAGTTTGGCCGGTGGTTGGCTGTAACTCTTTCTAACTGATGCAGATGAGGACGTGAGCAGATGCAACTCCGGGAGGGTGCGTGCAGGTTTAGAGTATCTGCTGTTGGACAAGTTCACAAAGGTGGTGGCCATTGTTAGAACTCTTTATAGTGAGTAACTAACTGCTTAAATAAGAGACTGACAAAGGAGCTCATTAAGCACATAATTAAGTACCTGAATAGCCAGTCTGAAGTGACAGGAAGTTGGAGAAAGCTGCATAATAAGGAGCTTCGTAACTTGTACTCTTCTCCAAGTATAATTAGAATGATAAGTGAAGGATGAGATGGGCAGGGCATGTAGCACGAATGGGGAATAGGAGGAATATTAATAGGATATTAATGGGAAAGCCGGAAGGAAGGAGACCACTGGGAAGACCAAGAGCTAGGCGGATGAACATTATTAAAACGGATTTTAGAGAGATAGGGTAGGATGGTATGGATTGGATTGATCTGGCTCAGGATAGGGGCCATTGGATGGCTATTATGAACACGGTAATAAAGTTTGGGGATCCATAAAATGCTGGGAAGTTCTTGAGTAGCTGCTCAATTGGCAGCTTCTCAAGAAGGGCTCAGCTCCATGAGTGAAACAGCCAGTCAGGGAAATGACTGACTATAGTGGAGCTTAGGTAATGAGATCCCACGTTAATCCCAACCTGCAGTCACTCAAATTGACTGACAGTAACACAAGAAGACATCCGCTGTTCGAAAATATACAAATTTAATGTAATTAGTATATTTCGTTGCAGTAGAAATGGATGTTGGTACAACGTGACATTATATGTTAATGTAGCTGCTGCTCTAGGCTATGAATAATTTAACCCTTTACCCTTTACTTCGAGCCCGGCTCATTTCAATCGTTGTTTATATGTAAAATGCACATTCAGAACTTTCGAATAAGTAATTTTGCCAAAGAATTCGAATTTCATATTTTCCAATCCAGTAATTCTAACGATATGACAGTTGGAACAGAGCATTGCTTTAATTAGTTCGGATTATCATGTCGCAATATAATTACGTAACTGGCCAATATGTTGCAATGTAACGAACTTCATGGCCACAAAGTCGTGCACATGAGTAATGTGTAGTGCTGGCGCTCAGCTACATATTCCCTGCTTATTTCAGTTTGAAGGTGTATATAACCACCAATGGACAGGATCCTGCGCCAGTTCCATCCACAGATTTCCACAAGGCACAATTTCCCATACATCATTGTTGACCCCCCATTGGTTTTTCCATCTCCGAAGTGGCTGCTTGTCATGGTTTTATGCCAAAATTTCGTGTAAAATGCATGTTCTCTAATCCAGGCTATATATCTAGGCCTCGCCTTTGATTTACTCATTGGTCTGTAACACTAATCCTGCTTCAAAATGTAACAGCCTCCGTTTATATGCAGACTCAGTCACTCTTGGGTCAACAGTCAAGCAGTCAGGCAGTTTCTCAGTTGTACAGGAAGGTTGCTTAATGGATGTCGTCAACAATATGAATGATTTTCATGTATAAAGAAAGATGCAATCAAATTTGAATCACTTGTTGGGGGGGGGGTTCAATCGATATAGCGACTAGGTTACGGGGTGGAGACACCAAAAAATCGGGGCTCGATATCTGGAAGGAGTAAAGATATTTTTTATCTCATTAACAGCGTTCATTTTAGCTACAGATGCTAATCATCCTCCTAATAAAGAAGCTAAAAGGTGTTATTTCTTCGGAGGTAAAGTGGACAGGGCGTAAGTTTAACCGCGCACTTCCTTCTACTGCAAAGTTCACGTTTGTTTGGACATATACTTCTGCTGTCCCATAAGCCATCATGGCGTGGTGCTTAATTAGCCACACGAACTTTGCCCTAACTTTTCTTTAACCTACCACTTTTCGGTGCCTACCGTTTCGGGGAAAAGCGTAATTTTAGGCACGCATTGTGTGGCATAATTTCGTTTAAGGAGCCCACCACAGGCTCAACGCAATCTAACGCATTCCAGTCAGTAGCAGGAAGACCCCACGAGTACGGAATGCTTGCGGTGTACATTGCCACACTACCCACGCAACTTACAAGACCAAAGACAAAGATTAATGAACGGTCAGAAACAAGGTGTCAGGAATTTTGACAATCTGCCCTCCCTCTCTTCTTTACGTTTAGTGCCACAACAAACACGAGCTCTACTGCCATCAGAAACCAGAGCAGAAACATTAGCATGAAGCGATCCAGTGTAAGCCTCGCATTCCAGAGGCAGACGCTCCCCTGCCTACACAGCAATGTACAGTGCGTAAAATATGATATTACGGCTCGATATTTCTGACATAATGGTTGTAGAGGCGAGTTCTTGGTCCTTCCCCGGAAATGTTTGCTACGTCACTGAATAGACTGTGTTTTGGCGACACAGCACTTGGGAAAACAAACTTGATGATGAGCTAAAATTTATGACGGAAATCAGGGCATGGTTACATGGTATGTGAGAATTGAGTCTTTCAGTGTGCACGCTATGAACAGAACTTTATTCTGAGATGTAACGCAAGCCTACCCACGTTTCGGAGGCTCATACTGCCTCCATCTCCAAGGACCGAAGGGTAAGCCGAGCAATCAACCAGCGAGCAACATGAATTATATGGTTGATTTGTGATTACTACAGTAAGCTTTTGTTTATCCGACTGTGTTTCGCTGGAAGTTCCGAGTATGTTACAATTCACCGCCTTCTATATTGGTATATTTTCGCCTTTATGTGGCAGCGCGGGACGCAAGTCAGCTGCACTTGCCTGTCAAGTTAATGTTTCAGAGAGCAACAAGTGTCTGCTCCTTCAGCATCCTTACATGCTTATATACTAGTGTCATAAGAATCCTTGAACCACTGCATCCGAAAGTGTGACACTAGTGAAAGGAAAGAAAATGCATTAACTGTTCCCCCCAAAATTTGAAGTTACCAGATGAATAGAAAAAGTGTGAGTCGCAGTTGTTGCTTCATCGTGCATTTATGATCTTATGGCTCAAAAAGTCGCACTGCTAAATTTTCCTGATATTTCCGATAGTGGCAGTGAGGGTACAAATGAAAGTAAAGTTTCAACGGTATTATATGACTGATTTGCGTTGAAATTCATTGAAGGAATTGCGATATGAAGGGCCAAATTTTGTAGCAAAGCAAT